ATGAAAAGTGAATGCGCGCGGTGTGCCTCGCGCTCTCTTATTCAAATTTGCGTCTTTTTTACGTCGGACCTGGTAGGGTGCGACGTAAATTGGACTTTTTACGTCAGACCTTCCCAGGTGCGACGTAGATTGGACTTTTTACGTCGGACCTTACCAGGTGCGACGTAAAAAAGTTCGCAAAAATTACAAAAATGCCACCGCATTTTTTTTACGTCGGATTTTCGTATTTCCGACGTAAAAGGGGTGACGTAATATACTTATTTTCTACTAGTGCTTCCACTCATGTGATTACTATAGCCAGTATCTACATACCAAATTTCTGCCTCGCTGTCTTTTGCATCTTCAACTGCCATCAACAGGGTTTCTACTTCTTTCTCCTCGATAAAATTTGAACTTTCACCCTTTTCTTTAAGATTAGGTAGTCTAGTATAACATTCAGAAGCATAATGACCAAATTTATGACATCTAAAGCATTCTATCTTTGATTTATCATGATCTCTCCTTCTATCATTGCCTTGAAATTGGTCATTGTTGCCTCTAGAGTTCTTGCTGAAATCTCTATTTCCACGACCTCCACGCCCTCGTCCTCTACCTCTATCTCTATCCCTTCCTCTAGAGTTGTATGAAGGAGTATTGGTAGAAGCCTTCAATGCTTGTTCCTCCATTGTTGAAATTTTGTTCATCTTTTGTTCATGGACCAACAAAGAACTTTGAAGCTCATCTAAGGAGAGATCATCTATATCATTTGACTCTTCAATTGAGCACACCACATATTCAAACTTTGGTGTTAATGAGCGTAGGATTTTTTCAACAATGGCTATATCATTCATTTTTTCACCATGAAATCGCATATTGTTAGCAATACCCATGGTCCTTGAACAATAGTCGGTTACAGATTCACCTTCCTTCATTTGAAGGACTTCAAAGTCTCTTCTCAAAGCTTGAAGTTGAGCACGTTTAACTCTTGAGGAGCCTTGATATTTTTTTTTCATTGAATCCAAAATATCCTTGGAAGTATCTTTACAAAGAATAGTTTCAAGGATAGATCGATCAATGGCTTGAAACAAATAATTCTTAGCTTTCAAGTCTTTCAATTTCATCACATCAAGCTCCTTTTGTTGGGCATCTGTAAGAGCTACACCATCCCCTGGTGTTGCCACACCATCTGCAACAACCTGCCAGAACTCCTTGAATCTCAAGAGATTCTCCATCAGCATACTCCAATGGTCGTAGTGACCATCAAAACGTAGAATGGCTGGCTGCACAAAATTTTCAGAAGTCATTGGTGGGTTTCACCCTTTTCTTTAAGATTAGGTAGTCTAGTATAACATTCAGAAGCATAATGACCAAATTTATGACATCTAAAGCATTCTATCTTTGATTTATCATGATCTCTCCTTCTATCATTGCCTTGAAATTGGTCATTGTTGCCTCTAGAGTTCTTGCTGAAATCTCTATTTCCACGACCTCCACGCCCTCGTCCTCTACCTCTATCTCTATCCCTTCCTCTAGAGTTGTATGAAGGAGTATTGGTAGAAGCCTTCAATGCTTGTTCCTCCATTGTTGAAATTTTGTTCATCTTTTGTTCATGGACCAACAAAGAACTTTGAAGCTCATCTAAGGAGAGATCATCTATATCATTTGACTCTTCAATTGAGCACACCACATATTCAAACTTTGGTGTTAATGAGCGTAGGATTTATATATATATATATATATACACACACACACACTTATACACACATACATACAGATACCAAAAGTTTACACTACCAAACAAATATATATGTATATATAACAATCCACGAAAATTGAAATGTATAAATCTAGGGTTGTTGGTCAAACAACATAACCAAAAACTATATAATTGTAGCTCTCCAATTATACCACCATCTAACAAGATGACTCTCCATGTACCAGACTCCTCAAGTCTAACCATGTTTTGCTCCCATGAAACATGATCATCCCAATCCATATATCAAAAAACATGTAAAGATAAGGTAGAGTACAAAAAAATAATTATATCACAAGTATAAAAGGAAAAACATCTATATTATTCACCATCAAGTAAAATCATACGTATATCACCTCATAGTGTACAACATATAACACACCAATCATCTCAATATGACATTCGACAACCTTACAAAAGTAAGTAACTTACAACATATGATATATCATATTTCACCATATCAATGCCATTCAATCATATAATCGACAAGCATATGAACGACATCAAATCACACCACATTATATGCATACACCTCAATTAAATACGTCGCCACACATTCACCTATAAAGATCTCCTACACCAAGATGAATAGTTTAAGTGACTTGACCCTATTGAACTAATTAACTATCCTCATAATACCATGCACCTCTCCAGTAATCAATTAAGGGCTATAACTCTCAATTTCATATATATCTTATTTCAACATCATTTAAGGATCTAGAGGAGACTTAACAGCCGATTCCAAAAGATAATGCCTGCTTAAGAAGGATTTTCAACGACTAGACTTATAGAGTACCACACCAATATCCACATAATGGGGCATCCAACTATCAGAAATAATCTCTCCTCTAGCCCTAAGTTAATCAATATGCCTAAATGGTTGTAATATTCTCAACATCACACCTCAATAGTGCATCAATACAATATGCCTAAATGCATGTAGCACTCTCAACATTAACACCTTAACAGGTTAACAAATCATCATTTATATAAACTATTCCATATCAAAATACATAAAACAAATATCACTAATCAACATACAATATGTAATAGATTCATCAATTCTATTCAAGTTCACCAATTTATCTAATAAAGAACATATTATTTATAAGGCAATTCGTGACAAACGTTATCCAACTTGTGCCTGACACCATTAAGGCGGAGAGCTCTCTGTCTTGTCCACACCTGATGCCATAGAACCCACACCTAGTGTGGATTAGATAGAAACCCCTAGACCTTCATGCCTAATGTGGCAAAGTCCCATGCCTGACCCCAAACTAGGCAGAGATGAGTCTCTCTCCTCACGCCTTGAGACACTCTTTTGGCACCTAACACTAATCCAAGCATAGTAAATTCTTTTACCTCACATCCGATGTCATTCAAACTATGTCCAACATGATCAAATCAAAGACTTTCCTTTATCTCACGCATGTTGCCACCAATCTTAGCTCGACGCAAGTGAGACAAAAACCTCTAACTTGAACCATGTCTAATGTTATAAAGGTGTGTCGCCACAACGTGAAATCTACACATGGTATATCCATAAATTTAGCTCATCTATACATGAAACTTAGAAAACCAACATGCATACAACAATACATATTTATTCATCACATGCAACTCATTTCTCATGGAAATCTTAGACCATCATATTCACCTTAATATGAAATAAACACCAAAATCCCCTCCATTCACCATACCACTCAAAATAAATCAACATAATCACATTTTGATTATAAAAAAAAACAACATGCAACTCAACAAACCAACAATTAATTTGTCCTAACTTCTCTTATCTCAACTTCGAGTTAAGAGACAATGGTTTCGAGCTAATACTAAAGAAGAATGAGGATGGTTTTGAGTTAATACCAAAGAAGAATTAGAATGGTTTCAAGCTAATGCCGAAGCTCCATTTAAAATCGCTATTATTGCTTGATTCTCAGCTCAATCACCTCAAATTAGCAACCAGCTACTAGAATCATATTCTAAGACTCTTGGGAAGCTAGAAGAAAAAGAAGAGAGGTTCAACAACCAGAGTCACTCTCTCTAAGTTCATCTCTTTAGGTTCTTTGAGAATGAGTTTATGAGACTTAATTCTCAAAAGAAACCTCATATACATTTCTCTCTCATGGTCAAACTGGATCTTTATCTAGAAAAATCCTCTAGAACACCTAAAAGACTCCCAAGGAGTTTCCTAACCCCTAAAATTCCTTAGCACCACACCTTATAACACCATAATTTGTAATTATTGTTAAAAACACAATAATTAAACAAAACATAAAGTGTTACATACTTAATCCCATTTAATAAAATAAATCATTCATTTTTATTGTACCTTTTTTTAAAATACTTTTAAATTTTTTTATTTTATTTTTATTTCTCAACTTTACAAACTCCCTTACCTTTAACATTCAATTTTTTTGCAAGCATTCACCCCCTTTCATTCACACCCCATTCATTCTTTGCCTTTAATGTTCAAATTTTTTATTTCAAGTACTCATCCACCCTTTTACACACAGATCTTCCTCTCCCTCGCCTTAGACGTTCAATTTTTTTTCCAAGCATTCACCCCCTTTCACATGCACTCCCTTCTTTCACTTTTTAGGATTTCAAAATAGATTAAAACTTTAGAATTTTAAATTTTCTTTTAAATCATAAAATTTTAAGATTTCTCAGCCTCACTTGCTCTCGTTCATTAATTTTACTATTTTAAAAATTGCTTTTTAGAACACTAAAAAATTACTCTTAGAAATTTCTTTTGGAAGTATGAAAAAAATCTAAAATTGATGGAATACCTTAAAATTTTGGGATCAGTATATGTAGAAAAAATTATTGAACTATTTATTCTTTAAGTGTTAAATTACATGTTGTGTAAAAGTCATATCAAATAAATTATAAAAAAAATATAAATAAAAAATATAATTTAACACATTGATTTGTACCTTTAGAGATATGAACTAAAATAAGTAAAATGAGAAAAAAAAAGGAAAAGAAACAAAAGGGAAATAGTGAATAAAAAATAATTTTA